TTATCCATAGACTTTTATTGAGTTACTCACTATGTGCAAAGATAAGTGGTAGACACTGCAGGGACACACAAAAGTAGAAGGTATTCTCCCTGCTATCCCCTTTGCTACTGAAGCTTTCAGTCTAGTGGCAGAACTAGGACGGGTAGATATTATTTTAAAATTCAAAACAAACAAATAAACCAAAAACTCCCAGCAAATTAGTATATAAAAATGATTAGTTAAAAGTAGAGGCAAGAAGATTTATAAACATCTATAAACATGGTGTGGCTGTGTTGGTTCTCTTGGAAGTTCAGCTCTTGAGTGAAGTACAAGAGGGAAAAGATAGGAAGTAGAGATTTCTAGCTGGAATGTTTAGGAAAGGCTTTAAGGAGGAGGTAAGCATTCAGCTGGTTTTTGAATATTGGAGAGAATTTCAAAGACAGTGAAAGCATCCCTGGTGGGGACTGTGTATGGGGTCCAAGGGTAGAGCATTAGGTAGGCTTGAGGATAGAGGTTAAAACAGCTTGGTCCTGGCAAAAGGCTTAGAGAGCAGTGGGAGATCAGGCTGGGAGAGCCGTCCAAGGGCTGCTGGTAAAGAGTGTGGAATGCTGGGCAAAGGAGAATGGGCTAAGGGTCTCCCAAAATGGGAACCATCAAATGTTGCTTGTTTCCTTTTTGTAAATAAAATGGCAACATGATAAATGGAAGGGATTCCACTTTGTATAGACCAGCTTACTGATGAGACATCACCCATTTCCTTTGGATTGGAGGATATGAATGTGGACCACCAGACCCAGCCACTGAGAATGGGATGGATTAGCTTGAATTCTTTGGACACTGAGTTCATGCGTGCTGGAGTTTGGGGCCTGGGTGTAATTTCCTTTAGAGAGAGAGGATCGTTTTGAGCCTCTTCCACTCAACTTGTTTATAAAAATCCTGGAGAATTATTTCCCAGACGATGGGTGGGGGGAGCCAGTATGTTTAGTAGTGATCCTATAAACAAACGAAGAATATTTTTTGCAGTAGGAACAGACTGAGTGAAACTATTTTTGTGATTTGACGAAACAGCTGATTTCTGGGATGGCTGAGGCAGAAACAGTGTGTGTCTTCCTGTGCTGACTTTCTCTCCCAAGGAGAATATTACTTATCTTTCCTGGCAACACTTAAAAACCTCCTTTCAAACTCAATGTGAATGTCTAGAAATTGACATGGTGTGGCTGTGTGGTTCTCTTGGGAGTTCAGCTCTCCTTGAGTGAAGTACAGGAGGGAAAAGATAAAAAGGAATGACAGGTTTCATTTCTCCAGAGCACGCATCATGATTGCAGATCAGAATTGCACTTCAAAGAAATCTTTGTGATATTGAATCTTAAGGTTCTCATTAATGTGATCAGTTTGAGGGACTGTAGACTATCAAGGATAATATATTTAAAAAATTACTATTTCCTTCTATTATTCTTTAGAGCAATAACTGGCATGTTTTACTTGAAAATTAGAATGAGTTGAAGCAGAGAGTGAGGCCCAAAGTGGAGTCTCAGCCCAAAGTGGGGTGACGATTCAATGGCTAATCCTTTATTAGGACAATAACGCTGAGATCTTGGCCAGAGGACGAATCTCCCATGCTGTCCTATCTGGCAGTAGTGGGTATTATGGGCCAAGTGGCCACAGCCAGAGTTGACTTTGTATATAGATGGACAGAAGGTAGTACTATGCAGGCAGCTTTACCTGGTGCCTGAAATTCATCATGCTCAGCAGATCGGGGTTTAAATGAGAATGTTTGATCTGGAACCCTTGACATATGATTGACCAAGCAGAGTGTGAGAGAAACCCAAGAAGAATGGGTGGAGGACAGAGGAGGAAGACACTGAGGATAGCATGGCTGAGGGGCCTGAGTAATCCTCCCCTGAGTGCTACAAAGAGAACAGGGACAAAAGTGTCAGAGAAGAGAGCTGTGGGCCACCAGGTGCTCTTGTGAAAATTCCCGTGCAATTCTGCCCCTTGCAGAAAATGCCTCCAATCTACAGCCCATCTCCCATTATTTCTCTTTAATAGCAATTCAATGAGTTAGCCATATTTGCTGTCAGATTTCCAGGAGTAAGGGATCAGGGTCAGGTGGGGTCTGAAGTGGGAGCAAGGAAAGAAAGCCTGAGTTGCCTTGCTAGAGGACTTCTGGAATAATCCATTATTCTTGGCAATAAACATTTAGACTTTCTCCGTAATATGCTGAGTTTGTGATTCGGTTTTAGTCCCTTTTTATCTACCCATCTAACAATACACCAGGCCCAGCAATGTGGCCTTCACGAAACACAGAATCCTAAAATGTTAGAGCAAGAAAATCCTTAGTGATCACCTGGTCTAGAGGTTTTTGAACTTTTCCCTTTTAACGAAGTGCAATCTTTTCTTCAACAGAAACCAAACCAAGAAGTCTAACATAAAATCATTTAAAAATGGAGCAGCTATGGTTAATCCCAGCGGCTCTTCTGAGGCAGCCAGGCAGAGAGGTACAATGATTTACACAAAGTCATCGACGTTGGGGAGTGATTCAGTAGGCCCCAGAGTCCTGGTCTCTGATCCTCAATCCAATACTCTGTTCACTGCACCATGTGATATTATATAATCAGTGCACCATGTGGTATTAAATACTGAACTGACAAACGATCCACAAAGCTGAGTTGGAGAACTGCTGGCATGAAGTGTGATGTGCTGCTATTGTAAAGCTATGGGATATTTAGTCAATAAACATGTGGGTTTTTTAATATTTAGAGAAGGGAAAGATGAAACTTGGGATGGGGAGGTTTCTTGTAGACCTGATTCTGGGGACACAGAAAGGATAAGAAGGAGCTAGATGGTGCTAGAAGAAATTCTGCTGCTTAAGTCCATTCATGTGATGGTGATCCCCTATTTTGTTGCTTTGCACTCATATCTTTATTTTTAAAATTTATGGTACATATAAAAGAATGTGTACAACATCTACATACACTTTAAGAATAAAAATATGAACACCCATAGATCCTCCCACCACTGCCTAAGAATGAGAATATTTCCAAAACTGTTGAACCTCTCCGTGTATGCCCTGCTGTTATCGAATCCCCCTTCCTCCCCTAGCCACCAGTCTGAATTTTTCATATTTTCTTGCTTTTCCTGTAGTTTTACTACTATATACACATCTCTAAACAATATATTATTTTTGTCTGTGTTTATAAAAATGAGTCCTTTCTTGTCTTGCTTTTTGTGCTCAACAGCATGCTCTAGAACATTTCTGTCATTGCAGAAAGTCCTGTTGGACTGCACATCTCTAGATATTTATTCACGGTATTGAGGGGAGATTCATCCATAATGTTGATCATTAGTATTCATTGCTGTATAATGTTCTACTATCTGAATAACCACTATACATTTATTCATTTTATAGTTGCTGGATAGTTGGTATATTTCTAGTTTTTTGCTCCTGCAGAATGCTTCTGGGATATTGTACCTGTCTTCTTGTGCAAAAGCTGCTATAGGGTATACACCCAGAAGTAGACATGCTGGGTGAAGGATGGGAACATGTTCAGATTTTACCTGGTAATAACTAATAACTTCACTCTCTCCCTTCGTTCCTTTCCTCCCTCATTCCCTCCCTCCCATCCTCCCTGCCTTCCTCCCTCTCTTCTCCGTCTCTCTTCCTCCTTTCTCTTTTTTACTTCTCATTGGACCTCAGGTGTTTAAATTGGATTAAACACAATCCTTGGCTCATGACACACTATCATCATTGGACCATGAAAATTCTTCTTTCCCTTTCTATCTATCCATCTATCTTCCTATTAAAGAATATACCATCCAACCAAAAAGTAAATATTTGCCAATCACTTAGCAATTATTTGTATCCTCTTATCCTATCCTGCCCTTTTGCCTCCCCTGCAGAGGTAACCACTATCTTGAATTTTGTATTATAACTTTAAAAAAAATTATTTTTGCATACATATATACTGCAATAGTTATAGATTGTGGTGTAGAAAATTACTCCAAATACCAGTATCTTAAAACAATAATGATCATTTATTATCTTATAGTTATTGTCTGTCAGGAATTTAGAGAGGGCACAGCAAGTGTGGCTTGTCTCTGCTCCATGATGTCTGAGGTCTCAGCTGGAAGACTCAAAACCTGGGGGGGCTGGAATCATCTGAAGGCTTGACAGGGGCTGGAGAATCCACTTCCAAGTTGGCTCACTCACATGGCTGGCAAGGTGGGGCTGGCACATTGGTTCCTCTCCATGTGGGCCTCCCCACAGGGCTGTTGAGTGTCCCTATGACATGGTAACTGGCTTTAAGGAGGATGTCAGCCATTTTTTTTTTTTTTTTTTAGGAAGGGTTTGGCAAAGGTTTATTTTTTTCTATTTCCAGTCTTTTAAAGTAGACACATTTGCTTAGAATGAAGCTAATTCTAAGAACACACAAAAACTGAACACAAAGGATAAGACTAAATTCAGCAACCTTGAGTGATAAAGAGTAAGGTACTCAGCTTGGCAGGTGCCCGGGACAGAAGACCGACCATGCAGGGTGGCTACTAACAGTCAGAGACTGAAGCCATCACTCTGCAAAGCAAGCAGTCCAGCGTCTGACCGCACAGCGAGTCTGTGTGTGCCCCGGATTCTACTCACTACATAACAAAGAACAATGAGCAGAGCTGAGTGTAGTCTTTACTAGACAACCTGCGCCCCCCTTAAATATAGTATTTCCTACAGTAGTGTGAATATAAGGCCACAATATTTATTTGGGATAAACCCTTTATGTAGTCATTTTAACTTCAACATTATTCATTCTTCCAAAATATAAAGTCTTCTAACCAAATTAATGTTGCAGATAATTTTTGTTAAAATACTACGTACATCATGACTTGTATGTTAAAATTATTCATACTTAGATATTTATAACATCCAAAGAAAATTTACTACCCAATTATTACAGTAGACATTAATATGACATGCTTATTAATTGATCCCATAGGTATGATTATAGATTAGCGTGGTTTTGGTGTCTATCTTACATTTCACTAAATTAGGAGCACTGCATTTACAGAACAAATAAACACAAGTGGTGCAGCCACCCAAGGACCAAGAGAGCTCTTCAGTTAGCTACGCTGCAAGCTCTGATATAAATCCCGCTCCATGAAAAAAAGCTGGATTCCAGTTCTTCATCAGAAGGTGCTGGTGGAGATTGTCAGATGCCGTCCAATATAGATCCCCAGTCCAATGGCCAGCAGATGAGACAGCAGCAGAGACAGAAGAAAAACTTTTAGAAATTCTGCGGAGAAAATGCCCCCTTTCTTCATAACACTCGTGTTTCTCATGCTGAGGGTGGTTGTGCGCTTTGGGTGTCTGAAGAGGAACTCCTTGTGGGGGATATTTTCTGGCCGACTTGACCAATCCCATATCCAGTCTGAGTTTTTCTTCAAGATGCTTTCAACTTCTTTCCTTCTCTCCATATAATCTTCCTCAGACTGAGAGCTGTTTTTCTCTCCGATGCTATGGGTGTCTGTTTCAGAAACTCTGTTAGTATCTTGTGGGCTCTGTGAGCGAGGCTGTCACAGTGAGAACTCTTGGAACTACTCCATCTAGACTCATGCTGGGCATCTAGCAGTATTTTTTCCATTTCATCATTAAAAATAGAAACTGAGGTGAGCCATTGTTTTTTCTAGTTTCTCCTTTTTCTTGTTCAAAATAGACAAAGGTCTTGAATTTGTGGGAAGATAATCTAAACTATTCAGGTGGAATAATAGGCTCTGGATCACCAGATATGACCTGGAAAAGGACATGTGAACCAATAAAGACATTGGCTACAAAAAGCCAACAAAGTCTGGTCATCATTTAAGGGTATTGGAAACTAAATAGCATTGTCTTACCATTGTGGGAGAGAAAGATGGGCTCACCCCTGGCAAACTTTGTGCAGTGCCACAGGCACTGTGCCACAAGAAAGAAATGATGCATCTAGAAAAGAAGGCTATGGGGAGATAAACAAAATCTAAGCATGAATATAGGGGAGTGAGAAGATGGAAGGGGGTAGGGAGAGGCAGGGGCTGTATTTACGAAAACAGAGTGAAAAGGTCAGTATTATTCAGCCTAGAAAGGTAAAGGCTGAGAGGATGCAACAATGAAGAGTTCACAAGTCCTGAATTTCTAAAGAAGTATTCTTTGAAAGGTGAATTTAAGATAATATAAGGAAGTCCCACTTCATATAGTAGGTAATGCACTTTTGTTTCTCACTACTCAAAAATTGAGGCAAGTTCTAGAAATATAAATCAATCCGGGTTGTGTTTATAGAGCTGGCTGTGGAGGGAACAGAGATTTTTATTTTTTTTGAGTTCTAATCTGACTTTTTGAGTTCACATCGAAGAGGACAACTGTGTCCTTCCATAAGATGCTTCTTGTGGTCTCTGTCACAGCTAGAATCCTGATCCAGAAGAGCAGATCTTCTGTTTTTATAGAAGAATTTGTATATCATAAGCGTCTTCTGATCGCCCAGGATTGGGTGTGTAGAAGAATCCAGAGATGATGCTAGCATTTTGGCGTAGTGATGTGAGGGCTGGTGCTATGACAGAAGCTGGTAGTTCATACCTTTTTGCTAAAAAGTAGAATGAGAGAAGCCAGTCCCCAGTGGTTGGCAGAGGCCACAGGGAATACTGTGGGCTCACTGGCTGATGTCCAGTGACACTGGCCACCAAGTTTGAACACTTTGTGAATGGAATAAACATCAAGACATAGAGTAAGAAAGGAAAAAAAAAAGAATACATCCTATAAATAAGGCCCTCTTGGACACCAGTCGTTTCCATAAAGAGACCAATATAGCAATGAATAGCAATGAGATTCTTTTATGTATTTAACACGCAGCATCTGGAAAATCCAAGGACTATTTTGTCTTGGGTTTTTAACTTCCTTCTCTAAAAACAAAACATAACTTCATTTAGCCATCTGATTCAAGGATCCAGGTGCATTCCAATACAACATGCACCTTTCCCTAAACTATTTTATAAATGATAAAAGCATCTGATCTTAATGCTGCAGGACCATATGAATATAGATGAGTTGATGGATAAATGGAGTCTCCAAGCCTCAAGAGGGTAGGTACTGTGTCTGTCTAGTTCATCATCATGTTCTGGTACCTGGCTTAGTGCCTGGTCCATAATAGATGCACAAAACAATTGGATTAATAAATTAATAAGTAAAGCAAGAATGGCTTGGGGTTTTCTATTTATAGTTATGTGTATTAAATAGAACTATTGGGCTTTTATTTTAACTTGTCAGTACTCATCTAATGGTTATTTAACTCTGAGATATTATTTAGCATGGTTTAGTTTGTTCCTTAAAAAAAAACAAAAACAAAAATAAAGATCCAACTACATAATTTTTGTGGAAATGAGCATCTGGGGAGATGGATTGGATTCTTTATTGGAGGCTCTAAGAACGTTCATGCTTGAATTCTTCTGGGGTGAGAGAGTATCACCCTCTAGATCTTAAGAGTTCTTAAAAGGGAGGTGTAGTATTTCAGAAACAGCCCTTTCAAGCCTTAATGCCTTTCATCAAAGGCTTTTAAAGCACTTTGCCTTTAACAGGGTCCATGTCTACCTCCTGCCCAGCTTACATACATGCCTCCCTTTGAGGTCAGTGGAGGCTAACAGTGCTGAGAAAACAAGCCAATGTGTGTAGTGGAGGCTGCAACCTAGCCCTATTTCAGTCTTGCATATGAGTGTGCACCTGAGACTTCAAAGAATTCAGTGTAGGCCAAAAAGAAATCAAGCATGAGCTCCAAAGAAAACCAGCTGCCAGATGAGTGGACTTTGGATCTCACATTTAGAGCCCTCTCAGAATGGACTAGTTTGCCATGGGAGGTAGTGAGGTCCTTGTTGTTGGAGATATTCAAGCTGAGGCTGACTGACCACTGGTGGCAATGCTGTGGTGGTGAGGGTGAGCAGGACCTACACTCAAGATGGAAGAACCAGCTTCATGGTCTATAAGAACCCCCACCCTCAGTGTCTTTGAGTCTAGGAAACGAAGTCTACTTCTCCTTCCTGGAGTGGGTCATCATAAATCATTGATTTACTTGGACCCTCACCCACCCACATTTCCCCTCTGTTCTTGAGTTTAGTGAGAAAGAGGCAAATGACTCCACCTTGACACGTCTAGCTAGAATCAGGGAAGGAATTAAAAAACGAACTTCCGGGATAGGTTTTGGGACTAGAGCACATTTATTACTGGTGTTCCACATGGGGACCCTGAGCCTGGAAGGAATCTGAATCACCAATTATTTGGTTGGGTTTCCTATTCTATGCTTGTCAAGGCAGGACATGGCGCTGGTAGATTTTATCACGGTTAATCAAGTCATTAATTATCAGTTTGAGTTTTCATGGGGATCTGTGTCTCAATGTGTTTGCTTCAGGGAAGTAATTGTGATTGCTTAGTCTAGTGAGTGGCTCTCAAACCTTGGCCTGCATCAGAATCACCTCCGGGCTTGTTTCAAGACAGACTGCTGGGCCCCACCCTCAGATTTTCTGATTCAGTAGGTTGGGGGTGTGGCCAAAGAATTTGCCTTTTTAAGCAACTTTCCAGGTGTATCAGTTTTCTAATGCTGCTGTAACAAATTACTACAAATTTAGTGGCTTAAAACAAAACAAATTTATTATCTTATAGTTCTGGAGGACAGAGTCCAAAAGGGATCTCACCGGGCTGAAATCAAGGTGTTGGCAGGGTTGTGTGGAGGCTCTGGGGAAGAATCCATTTCCTTGCATCTAGAGAATCCATTTCCAGCTTCTAGACGCTGCCTGCATTCCTGGGCCCATGGCCTCCTTCCATCTTCAAAGCCAGCAATGACTGGTTGAGTCTTTCTCAAGATGCCATCTCTCTGGTTCTTAATTCTTCTGCTTCCCTCTTCCTGGTTTAAGGGTACTGGTGATTACATTGGGTTCACTTGGATAATCTCCTTATTTTAAAGTAAGCTGATTAGCAGCCTTAATTTCATCTGCAAACTTAATTCCTCCTTGCCACGTAACATAATATATTCACAGGTCCCAGGGATTAGGATGTGGACATCTTTGGGGGGCCATTATTGTGTCTACACCATACCAGGTGATGCTGATGCTGCTGGCCTGGGGACCACGCTTTGAGAACCTCTGGTTTAGTGACTCGAGGGACTGATCATTATGGGGAGCATCGCTTCTCAATAAAATTGGGCAGGAACATGCATGTCTTATGGAAAATTAGATTTTGTGTGGTTTAAGATTTTATCAAACTTTTATGCAAAATACTACTTTGTAAAATATTAACCCCAAGATCCTTGTGGACATCCAAATGGAAGGCCCAAATAAAGACCTATTTCCCATGACTCCAGCACTCTGCCCTGCCCCCACTAGTCTAATTCACTCCTGGCACCTGTATTGTCCTTGCTGCTATCATGATCATTACCTGCCAAGTTATTCCCCTTCTCTTTACCTATTAAGAATTTGCTCCTTTTTAAGACTCAGTTTGGACCTTCCCTCTGCCATAATGCCTTCCCTAATTGCTCTAGCTGAATGTTATCTTGCTAGTTTACTAGACGCCCTCACGCATGAAATCATTTGTTCCCCGTAACAATGCTGTGAGGTGGGTAGTTTCTCCATGTCACAGATGGAAAGAAAAAGGCAATAGAATGTTTTAGTAAGCTATTCAAGTTCATCCAGTATTGCAGGTCTGTGAACTCAGTCTCTGCAATGGACTGAATGTTCATGTCCCCTCCAATACATATGTTGAAACCTGACTCCCAGTGTGATGGTATTTGGAGGTGGGGCCTTTGGGAGGTGATTAGGTCATGAGGGTGGTGCCCTCATCAATGGGATTAGTGCCCTTATAGAAGAGACCCTAGAGAGCTCCCTGGCCCCTTCTGCCATATGAGGACACAGTAAGAAGATGGCCATCTATGAACAAGGAAGCAGGTCCTCACTGGACACCAAATCTGCCAGCACCTTAATCTTGACCTTGTCTGCCTCCAAAACTGTGACAAATATGTGTTTGTTGTTTGAGCCACTTGGTCTGTGGTATTTCTGTTATAGCAGCCTGAAGGGACTGAGACAGTCCCTCAAGCTGTGACTCTCAATCCGAGCTTGTCCAGCACTGTGATGAAGGATGGGAATTTTTAGGGGAACTCACAGCTAGTGAATTCCAGGTTGACTGACCAAGTCTTGAGTGGGCAGGATATCTTCTGGAGGCTGTGACTTCCTCTTTAAGCTCCTTCCTTGTCAGTCTATGTCAAATGAAAATTCTTTCTTGTTAAGCTGCTCTTTATTGGGTAGCATATTTTTTTTACTCTTGTAAGTGGAAATAGAGTTCCTTGCTTGTGGATTTAACTTGTCAAATATGAATGCTGTGATTATAATTATTATGTGCAATTGAGATGAGCTGCTGTCATTCCCAGCTTCATTCCTGGAGTTTCAAAGAAAGAGATTGTTGCAATGATGAGAATCACAGATTTGGAGAAAGGTTTGTTAAAATCAAACACTAACAGCAATGTGTTTCTTGTAATCTGTAAACTTTGTGTACCACGACATAGGTGGTCATTATTTTTTTCTTTCATTTAAAAAAACTCTTGATCATCAAGCCCATGATTCTGATCTGGGTAAAAGGTTATATGATTAGACTAGCTTCATGGAATAAGTGAGGGAAGAGGAG